TCCTATAGGTGTTTTGGTTTATTTCAGGGCCTTCGATATCTTAAATGAGGAACATTCTAAAGGTCCAATTACTCTGTAATTTTTCAGTCAGTATCTCAGTGGTTTCTTTAAAGTGAATGCTGTCTTTCTGTAACTCTTCCCTGTATTACCTGAAAATTCATTTGGGTTTACTATCAGGAAAAGGGAAAGAAATGTCCTAGGGGACACCTGCTTGTATAAGCCATTTACATCTCATTTTAAATTAGTTAAATTAGCTTTATTTTCATAAGCTAATGTCAAGGGAGAAGATTGATTTGAGGAAAAAGGAAGAGAAAATAGAGATAATTTGACCCAGGCCAGATGAAGTAAAGGGAAAAGGGACAGTCTCTGGAAAACCAGAAGGACTTAATTATGATTCTCTTACAACAATGGTGGTATGGAAAGAAATCTGAGTTATGTTTAGCTGACTCTAGGATAGGTACATTGAGCACGTGAGTAAGCATGGCTCAGTAGGAAACATTATGGGAAGAGGAGTCCAGAATCATCTGACACAATAGTAACCAGATCTAACCACATCTTCATAACCTGAAATGAATTCTCACTTAGTTTCAGATGTGCTGCTGTGATTATCAATTCTGGAACTTTTAAAGGCTTAAAGGAATAGTTTAAGACATTAACGTTTCAGAAAGGTAGCATGGAACAGATACGAGAGACTAGATTTAGAATCAGAGAAGGTTTTAGTTTTAGCTTTACCTCAGACAAATCTTTTAACTACTCTGATTCTCACATATTCTGTAAAGGGGGTAAATAATATCTATGTCACAGGATTATTGTCAGGATACAGTAAGAATAGGTGTAAATAAGCATTATTAATTATAAAGTCTGCTGAATATAAGGTTTTTATATAAATTGTATACACATTTTTCACAGGATTTATGAAGTTCACACCTCTTCAACTGCTTGTATAAAAAGTTTCAGTGTTTCCATGAGTTACTAGTGAAATTTACAAAAGATAAAATCAAATTATGTGGAGAAAAAAATGAACTCATTTTAAAATGTTTACTCTCAGGAAGAGGCAAATGACATGTGCAGAGGAAGAGGCAAATGTATGTGCAGGAAGAAAATACACAGGGAAGCCTGGTATGTGGAAGCAATAGGTATGTGGAAGCAACAGGAATTTATATCGACTAAACACATGAACTCTGATACCTGAGAAGTAATAGAAAATAGTAACAAAGTGACATAATCTAATTATGGTTAATATTGGTAGTATTGTTTAGAAAAAAATCGATATCAATATATAAATAGGAGTCAAGTAAAAAACTTAAAAGACATAATACTCACATATCTGTGTGGTCGAATGCTAGGTATTCCTCTATTATTCCTTCAGAGAAGATTATACAGTCTTCCTCTTCCTTTTCCATAGAACACAAGCTAGGGGATTTGGCAATGGAAGATGCTTTATGAACATAAGAAGAAAAGTGTAACTTCTTTCCCCTAATACCAAATCTGGGAGAGAAAAAAAGCAAATATTAATTATGTACAACATAAACAGTTCTCACAACAACTCAGTCACATGAGTTTCAGCTCAAAGTGCTTTGCCCTGGCAACACCTTCCTGGACAACTTCAAGCTTTAATGCCTATTCGTTCTCAGAACAGGGAGAATAAATACTAGCCATAGAACTACTCTACTTAGGTGTATTACGCAGTATCGAATTCTGCTTGCTATCTTTTCAGATGCAACAGCTATGGCTAAAAAATAAAATAAAA